TACCTGTGTTCATTACTAGCCACCTACCTGTGTTCATTACTAACCACCTACCTGTGTTCATTACTAACCACCTACCTGTGTCTACCTGTTTCATTACTGCACTACTGTGTTCATTACTAGCCACCTACCTGTGTTCATTACTAGCCACCTACTGTGTTCATTACTAGCACCTACCTGTGTTCATTATAGCCACCTACCTGTGTTCATTACTAGCCACCTACCTGTGTTCATTACTAGCCACCTACCTGTGTTCATTACTCAACACCTACACTGTATTCATTTACTAGCTACCTACCTGTGTTTCATTACTAACCACCTACTTGTGTTCATTACTAGCCACCTACCTGTGTTCATTACTAGCCACCTACCTGTGTTCATTACTAACCACCTACCTGTGTTCATTACTAGCCACCTACCTGTATTCATTACTAACACCTACATTGCATTACTAGCCACCTACTATATGTTCATTACTAACCACCTACCTGTGTTCATTACTAGCCACCTACCTGTGTTCATTACTAGCACCTACTGTATGTTCATTAGCACACCTATGTTCAATACTATACCTCTACACTTTCCTTTCATTGCATCTACTTAATATACTCAGAGGCTCTCTTCTCCTGAATTAAAGAGTAACATAGTCTGTCTATCTGTCTGTCTGTCTGTCTGTCTGTCTGTCTGTCTGTCTGTCTGTTCCCCCAGCTATTTCCCCAATGAGATCCTAAAATAACACCTGAGAGGAGGAGGAGGGGGTAGAGGGGAGACTGAAGGAATCGAGTCCTATATAACCCTGTACAAAAACTTTTAATCCATTACGAGTGATTAAAAAAAATTATAGTTGGGTTTACATTATTAGATATTATCAAACAGTTCATAAGAGTAAGGTGAATAAAGTTGATATGAGGAAAGGTTTGGCTGTGTTGATTAAATGTTTACAGAGGGAATTGATGGATCTAATTTTTTGGTTGTGAATAAAAAAAAAAACAACAACAACATCAGAGAGTGAGTGTTAATCATAGTTTGTTGGAAAGTCGAGCCTAGAGTATTGAGAGAGTGTGTTGAGTGTGTTGAGTGTGTGTGTGTGTGTGTGTGTGTGTGTGTGTGTGTGTGTGTGTGTGTGTGTGTGTGTGTGTGTGTGTGTGTGTGTGTGTGTGTGTGTGTGTGTGTGTGTGTGTGTGTGTGTGTGTGTGTGGAGGGAAAAGATCACGCATCAGAACAAGGAAAAAGATTGGTGAAAGGTAAAGTGTTTGCTGGGATGTGTCATAACCGTGGGGATATTTACTACACCTTATGGACGCTTTTACAAGTTGTTTATTGGTCATGCATGATGTATGTAGAGAGAGAGAGAGAGAGAGAGAGAGAGAGAGAGAGAGACTACTGTAAGGGGGGGAATTAAAATTGAACGTGTAAACCTTAAAGAGAATAAATAACAGAAGAAATAGAGTAATGTTTGATAGGAGGAGGAAGTTGAATTGTGAAAAGTTAAGCTGAAATTCAGAATATCCAGCGAGGATTTGAAGAAGGTTGGGAAGCACGAGAGAGAGAGAGGCAGATATCGGAAAATATGTTCAAATGGCGATCTGACGAAAGTTTACGAACGGAGGAAAAATGAAATCGTTTGTGGTAAAATGAAAAGATGTAAATAATACTTAATTCAACTGATTCTGATGTATAGAAGTTAAGGATAAGTTAGATATAGACAAACGTTCGTAACAGGTGATGGGTTTCTATATTTCATTCTGATGTAAAATGGAATAACAGGATAGAAAAAAAAATATATATTGGGAGAGACTTCGAATAGATGAAAGATAGGATGATAAATGGATAAAAAAAAGATGGATAGATTGGATGAATACATAGAAGGGATGGATGTAGGGAAGAGGTAGACCTTGAGAAAATATAAAGGGTTAAGTGAGTAGGAATTCTCAGGTGTATGGGATGGTGTGTGTGTGTGTGTGTGTGTGTGTGTGTGTGTGTGTGTGTGTGTGTATCTGAGCCCGATAACCCTATAACTCAGCCATTATTTGACGACTATGGCTAAACTTAACATCAATAATGGCTTTAACTGGGTATCTAATACTTTTTTTTTTACCTTTCCACATTAAAAAAGTTCATAAGTGCGATACCTTAACCCTCGTTCAGGTGATTTTCGTCCATGATTAGAGATGGTATAGCCTTAACATGATCTACGGTCTTTTTAATAAGGGTATATACCTTAATTACGTATTTATCTAATTTAACAACAACTCACAGATAATCGTTGTATATTAACCGCCCAGTTTAGATTTTTTTACAATGTATATTCGATTCTTAAGGATTAATGGCCAGAGGATATTTATAAAAAATTATTATCTGGTCTAATATTTCAACCTATAATGATGAAGGTTGGAATATTGACAACATGACACGATCCTCGCGTAAAATAAAGTGTTAAAAAGAGTTATTTTTTAAGTAACAAGACACGAGGATTGACACTAAAAACTAGAATATATCATATTTTCTTTCCATTATATTTTGGTAAGTCTAGAAACGTCTTTGGGTAATGTCTCTCTTTAACCACCAAACTAACGGACAGAAATATGTTAAATACTTGTGATCCTTGATATTTTCTTGTTATTGTTGAGGGTCAGAGGTCATAACTACCGAGAGAAACAACTGAAGAATCATCTCACAAGAGGATATTTTGCGTCAGTTCAATATTTTTGTATTTTTTAACATTTTAACAATTAATAACTTTTTTAACGCCTCAAATTTGTTGTGATATATGACCGACTAACTGGGGTATCACTGACTGGCTGCCTGTCTATTGTATTGTGCTTATAAATACAGTCTGGGTTATATGGTTTTATATCTACAGTCTTATATAATCGTTAAGAACTTCTGGGATGAACTTTTTGTATTCTTACTAATATTATATATGTTTTTTGAACTTTATATGAACAAATTAATTATTACAGTGTTGTATATTCATAGTATTGAAAGTAGTGTTATCATTTCAATCATCCAATCAAGAGATTTTTCCTTGAATCCAAAAGTTGTCATGTTATCTTAGGTTTGCAAAGGAAAGATATGAGATGTACCCTCAAACTCCCCCCAAAACGTGACCTCCATCCCCACCCATCACTTCTCAACCCTCCCACCCATCACCACCGCCCTCCTCTACAGCGCCACTGGTTAATTGGTTACTCCTGTATATGGTTAATAGTTAAGTCTGGTGGCTCTCGTCTTCTCGCTACAGCTAGACAGGAGAAAGGACCTCGGCTCTCACCACACACACACACACACACACTACCACCAATCTTCTATGCATAGGTGAAGAATATTATTGAGAAAGTCTACGGTATTTACCACCCGCGTTTCACTAACTCTGGTCATGTAATTTACCTTCACACACACACACACACACACAAACACACACACACACACACACACACACACACACACACACACACACACACACACACACACACACACACACACACACATACATAAAAAATTCAGCCCATAAGAGCCCGCACAGATAGATATAAGAACAGCACCATCCCATCTATTGTTAAAATAATAAACAACTGATTTATGTACTGTACAGCCCTGTAAATGTATTGAACGTATATCATTTTGTCTAAATCACATGTAAGTTTGTATATTTTCAGCCACCGGCTGCAACTCTATTAATAAACCGTTTATTATTATTATTATACACACACACACACACACACACACACACACACACACACACACACACACCAGAGCCCGCGAGAGCTCAGTATATGAAACGAGTTAAAACAAAGACAAACAATCAACGTAAAATCGCAAGGGAAAGGGAATGATGCTGGGCAACTCAGTGATACACAGATAAAGCTTCGGTTTGGCTGTAAAACATTTTACGACAACGATAAACTCGAGACTCTCCCATTGATGGTTGATCAGATTTTCTCTCCCTCAAACTTTACCAGAATTGATCAAGTCAGCGTCTGTGGCTCTGTGACACTCCATGCTTGTTTGTGACACCCCATGCTTGTTTGTGACACCCCATGCTTGTTTGTGACACCCTAGGCGTTCTTTGATGTACAATGAAAGAGAGGGAGGAGGAGGGGGAGGGTGTAGGGGAGGGGTTATGACACGTGATATACCGCTTTGGAAATAATGTCCATGTTTTCCTTAGGATAATTTATACAACGTGTTACCTTTGTTTCGTATCATTAATTTACACCTGTACGTTCTTCAAGGGTACATTAGCGAAGACTATGTTCAGGTATCTACGTCATATAATAGTTTGTATATGTGTGTGTATATAATAAACATGAAACTGTCAAATATTATTACAGATTTTCCACATTTAAATAATTTCTAACATGTAAATACTTAAAATCTGGAGTATCTTAGTAATTTAGTCTCTCGTGTTAATTAGCAAGTGTTGTCAACCAGGTTATAGACACATATATAAGTAGCTTTTAACATTATAATATTTCCCCTTTGCAATATTTGTCCAGCTTGATATAAATCGCCCTGGACTATCGGCTTTCTGTTCTTGGCCGGCCGCTACGTATAACAGAGATCCCTTCCTCCTAGTTCTATTGATAGCGGCCTCAACCTAACCTAACCAAAAAGCTCCTCACTCTAAGGTAGTAAAGATAACTCATGACGTCTCCCATGACTTGAAGACAGTTTTATCATATTCCCTGAGTTATAACATGAAGAGAAAGTTATCTTTGTTATCTCTGTGTGGTTAAGATTTAATTGGTCATGGAAGAAGACTTCGTTTGCTTGCTATCTATACTGCTTACTGTACCTTGGAGTTTGTCCCCTAAACACACATACACACATACACACATACACACATATACACTCCATCCCCCAGCACATATTCCAACACACATACACAGACATACACTCCACCCCAACACACATACTTTATATTTTTCTATTTATTGTGTGAAAAATATTGTCCTTACTTTATTCTGTACTGCCATTAATATTGTCTCCTTCCTCCCCAGACACCTCCTATGGCCGCCAACAGACCCCCCAGAGAGAACCGTGAACAAGTCGTGAGGTATTGGAAGAGAGAAAACGTGGCGGATGTACAAAGGCAGTAGCGTAAAGTGGTCGGCACAACACAACACCCCCCCCCTCCCTCCCACCCACCACCCCCCTCTCCCTCCCTCCCACCACCACCTCCCCTACTAGAGGAACCATAACACGAACCTGTGATAAATATGACCCAGAAGGGACTATCTAGTTTACATAATGGTAAATCAGGACGGCCTCAAAACGGTGACAACTCCAGATAATCTACCGTGAGCGCTGGTACCGAGTCATCCGTCTTCACTGTGGTCGAGCGGTTCGGTGAGGAAATGATTAAGACAATATTAATTAATTAACCCTATAGGTCCTCCGGCTGACACACGCTGTGAATAATGACCGTCCTGATCGACGTTTTGAGTCCTGTGAATAGTTTACCGCAAAGACTGACACTCTAGGAATCTATCAATACCATTGTGTGGACAGATCACTTGTCGTTTAAACTCAATTGGACATTAAATCGACATATCTGTGTTTATTGGTCACAGGACAACACACACACACACACGCACACACACACACACACACACACACACACACACACACACACACACACACACACACACACACATTTTACCCCCCATGTTGTAAACGTACCTGTTGTGAGAATGATTTGACATCTCTAGTGGGACTGTGGGATGATATATCTTTAAAGGAACAATGAATGGAACAACTTGTAACAGGTAATACAAAACCTAGTGACCACATTAATACATAACCAGTAAATGAGGAATCAGTTTTACCTACAAGTTGAGGCCCTTACATATTATACACCAACACCTGTTTGTTTATACCTGGATACTATAACCAAGGTGGATAAAGAGTTTCCAATCACACATTACCCAGACTTCGTCCCTCGAGTGGTATTGAAGCCAGAGATCTAGCCTCATAATCCCACTACGAGAATATAAGGAAGAGATACCTAGTGATACCTAAGTTTTATAGCCAATCACAGGTAACATTGGTGCAGGTCAGGTAAGTGTACAGGGGACTCACTATACAGCTATACAACTTAATGTGTATGAATAAAAAATTTTGTATTTCTGACACGTGTTTTTTTCCTTTCCCTCACTGTTACAGATGTTGAAAAGAGAGAGAGAGAGAGAGAGAGAGAGAGAGAAAGAGAAGGAGACGAAGAGAGAAAGGGAGAAATAGACCAAGAGAATGAGAAAAAGTGGAAAACAAATAAAAAAAGAAAGAAGGGGAGAGAGAAAAAAAACATACAAGAAATTAAAAAAAGAAAACACAGAAAAGATAAAATAGAAAGAATCACTGAGGGATAAAAAACGAGAGATGAAAGAAAGAGAGAGAGAGAGATAGAGACTAAGCTGGGCAACATTAAGGTTTATCGCTGAATCAATCATAAGCTGAGATATATTTCCTTCTATATATTCTTACATCATGTTTTCTTCAGTAATATATTCCATCTGCGTCACCTGCTGTTACCCCCCCCCTCCCCCCCTCTCTCCACCATCTGTCTGTATGGTACATTAAACCCCCCTACCCCTTCCCCCCCCCTCCCACACACACGTATGGTCTTGCCTTCCACCACCAACTATATTGTTTTAGTGTCCACCATCTGTATTGGATGGTCTAGCCTATTCTTTGTGGTTAGGTTAGGTTAGGTTAGGTTAGGTTTGATTAGATGACCACTCAACACACACACACACACACACACACACCGAGAAAAGCAACAGTGTTTGTAAATGAAAGGAAAGGTGTTTTGGCGGGAAGAAATTGACCCCCTGCTAGGTGTTGCTGGGTATTGCTGGGTGTTGCTGGGCTATCTGAAGCGACATATGGAAACCGGATTTGAGGTGTTGGGGTGGAAAAAGGAGCATAAGATATTTTACAAGGATTGAAGAGAGAAGGTGTGTGTGTGTATGTGTGTGTTTACAATCGCCTAGCACCCGGGACTCTCTTGTTTCTTATCATCACGACCTCTCTATCCTCATCATCACTATCCTCCTCACCACTATCCTCATCACCACTATCCTCATCATCACTATCCTCATTCCACTATCCTCATCACCACTATCCTCATCATCACTATCCTCATTCCATTATCCTCATCACCACTATCCTCATCATCACTATCCTCATTCCACTATCCTCATCATCACTATCCTCATCACCACTATCCTCATCACTACTATCCTCATCACCACTCCACTAACCTCACCACCACTACTCTCTGGTCAATGATCCTTCCCAAGACAGGAAATTAAGGACCTTAGGGGGTAACTATGGAAACCCTGAAGACTCTCAGGAACCAATAGTCCCCAACAAGAGAAAAAGTCCCCCCGCCCCCCTACACCCCACCACCCACTCCTCCTCGCCCCTGCCCCCGTACACCTCTAGGGCGCTACCAGCCTTTACCGAGTGATCACAACGTCTGACCCAGCCACTGAACACATCAAATGGTGTGATGGAAGTATTTTTTTCTCTATTTTCTTATGGTAATTTGGTTCTCGCTGTTATATTGTTACGGGGACTTGTTATTTGTTTTTTAGTGGGTGTTGAGTTATCATATATGAATGTTTAAGATGATAGAGAGATATAGTATGTATTTAGAGACAAGAGAATGATGAATACAGCCACAGGTTAAGTGAGGGTAACACGGTAGTAAATAAAAATATGATTTTATATTTGTTAATTGCAAAGAAAAATAAATATTGTAAATGTCTATCATTCTTATTTGGCTTCATGTTGTGGAGTTCATAGTAAAAATATATATAATATGAACACCCATGATAACATGTCTATGTAATTTCACGGTTTTGATAAATATGATTTGTAAATTGAGATTTTATGGACAAAGTAATCAAAATATGTTTGTTTTTTTGTTTTGTTGTGAATAATTGAATTAATTTGTAGTAAATCCATTTTTTTATCGTCATATACGTCTACATTTTTCCAACATATGATTGAATTTATTTATTTATTTATTTTGTAGATTATTAATAACAAAATATAAAGAACTGGAGTATTACCAAGTGATATATCCTGTTCTTCGCTGTTAAGAACTTTAGATATTACATAAAAAGTATATAGTTTATTGGTTCTCTGGGGATATTATTATCTTCAACTCGTGTTTGTGATTGTTGCATTATTGATGAAAATACACCAACATATGCATTCTCTTATAACGGACGAGATACATTCTTGAGGCTGGTCCGTTAAGTAAAATATCCGCTAAAAGAGGCCATTACAACATGTTACTAATGGTGATGGGTCGTTGCTAATAGCGGAATTAGTCGAAATGATAAATAAATATCATTAAATACTACAATTTTCTTACAGAATAGCTAAATAATGATTTAATAAGCCAAAATAGTTCTTAAACACTAGAAAAACGTTGCAGTTACTTAGAAATACAAATGACTTTCCACCGCCGTCTCGATACGAGGGGTAAACACTAAGCTGCCAGCTAACACCTCCAGCGTAACGATAATAAAACAAAAAATGGCTATCGTGAGGTGACACTGCTTAACTTTTCAATGGTATTTTTGCGTTTACACACCACACATTCCTACCACTAATCTATTATCATATTCGAATAAGACGTCTAATTATAAGATAATTTTCATCTATTACATTACCGGCGGAAATGTATAATAACAGAGATAGAGTATCCCAAATTTTCTCTATTTCCTTCCAATAATCTTCTGCCATTATCGCCTGCCTCACCTCCAACACTGCGTGTCTCCTACGTGTCTCCTTCATAAATCATCACCAGCATGCGTTCCCATACACGTCACGCGACCAATAAAAAGCGGGTTTTTTTTGCAACCAATGAAAATGATTTGTGGTTTAATTCGCGGTATCTTTGGCCCAATCAAAATCGATTTTTATTTTGGGTCTCTCATATTTCCAAATTCATATTCATTTCCAACCATGGAAGTCTGTGATGGGTGTCCCTTAAATTATATGGAGCTGATTGTGAGTTTTTGGAAAAAAAAAAACGAAGAAATTATAGCATTTTTTCGATCGCATGGTGTTCCTCCAACCTCAGTAAAGTGTCATAAGTGCAAGACTGAATGTAAATATCGCAAAGACCAACATATGTGGCGTTGGGTAAGAATCTCAGAATCCAACGACGAACAAGAACCAGGTCAACAAGGTAAGAAATAGGTGATTCCATCATATGGTGAGAGTCAGTTAGCTTAGGTTAGGTTAAGTTAGGTTAGGTTTGGTTTTTGTTTTTCTAGTTTTTTTTGTATTTTTTGTTCGCTTAGACATTTATTTATTTTCGGAAAACGTCCAAAGAAAAAAAATCGAAAAAAAAAACCCGGCTAATTTCCGCCGTAAATGAAGGTCATATTCGGTCTAAACACACACAAATACATTAGAAAAATATATTCTTGACTTTCTAACAGAGTGCGGTGTGACAGTGCAAATTTACCAAAACATTCATATGAAGACTTTCCTAACATCAATACTCAATGAAACTAAATTTTATAATACTCACCAGTTGTTTGTTGTTTGTTTTTCGGGGTTTGCTGTGTAGTTTACCACCTCTGAGGACCTACTCTCGCTCCCTTCAACCCACCGCACCATTTTCACGTCCATACTAATGACTTTCTTGGGCACCTTGGCTGGTTTACCAACACGTGCAGGCCGCGTCCCAGATATATTGGGGATAAAATGTTGACAAAACACACGTAGATAGTGAAAATGTGAAGAGATCTACAGCGATACAACTGACACGAATTTTGCCGGGTTACTGTATACATTTGGAGGCGATCGCTGATTGGCTTAGAGGATGTAAACAACAAAGATGGCGGCAGACATTCATCGTTGGGTCTTTTTCACGAATATTTGAATGATTTTTCTCTTGAATGAAACAATAATTACTATTATACAGTATTTATTAAATTAACAAAAAATCATGTCCTTTAAACGAAAATCCGTACGATGACTAACGTAGATGTAAGATGTATAATAACACCGGCCAGCGACTGTAGTCTTGTTGTACAGGAAAAGTCATCAAACTTTCCCTGCAGGTACACGAACATACAGGAAACCCCTTAGCTGCTGCCTAGCCATATGAGTCGGTCTCCAG